CCTCAGCCAGAGTAGGCTTACGGACTTTAAGGTCACAGGGGACCATTGTGATCAGTCAGTCTGGACTTCTGCATATTTCAGGCCATAGAACCACACTCAGTCACTCCTGAAAGAGACCCATGACCTCTGACTGAATTACTGAAGTCCTTAAATCATAATGTAAAGACATCAAGGTACAGAGACGTCACCATTTACACTAATTTAAATCTGCAAGTGACCCATGTCTCCTCTGCTACAAAGGAAGATGAAACTCTGCCCACTCTCCCAAGTCTCTGCCATTCTGCCTGGGGGAAAATTCCTTCTTGACCCCAAATATATTGATCTATTACCCTGATCATGTGGGCAAGACACCCCAATCCCCGGCAGATACCTGGAAAGTATTCTCTGTAGCAACTCAGAGTTCTTCCCATCTAATGTCCAATCTCCAGTCATTGGGGATTTTGGCTTCCATACACTGTAGGAAGGCCCATCATACCATCCCCTCCATAAAATTATCATGCTCAGACTTGAAGCTAGTTAGGTTTTTCCTCCTGCTGCTCCTCTCGAAAAGCTGTTCTAGAACTTTTCTCTGATGGTTAGAAACTCTTCATCTAATTTTGAGCCTAATTTTCTTGATGGTCACTTTATATCCATTTGTGCTTGGGTTTTGGATGCCACACTTTAGGAAAGATGTGGCCAACCTGGAGAGAGCCCAGAGAAAAATCAACTAAAATTATACAAGGTTTAGACCTAAGAGGAAAGGTTAAATATGGGTTTATTTAAATTGAAGATAAGAAGACTGATGAGAGACCTGATAACAATTTTTGAATATGTTAAAGGCTGGAATAAAGAGGAGGGTGATCAATTGTTCTCCCTATTTGGTGGAAATATGACAAGAAATATAATCTTATTATCTGCAGCAAGATTAGGGAAAATGGCATAACAATAAGGATAATTAAATAATGGATTAGGCTTCCAAGGGATGTTGTTTAAGCACAGGTTAGACAAAGAGCTGTCAGAGCTGGTGTAGGCATACTTTGTCCTGAATCAGCGTGTGAGATGGAGATGATGACCTCTTGGGGTTCTTTTAGGTCTACATTTCTATGATTCTGTATGGAAGCTTGGCAGCTACTCTGTGTTGATTTGTGTTTACCAGCTGCATATTTCACCATCAGTGGCTGTTACTTGCAGCCATTTCATCTGCCTGGGGATTATTTGTTTGAGAAAGAAGACGAATTGGTGAAGGGGATGGAACAGGGATCTGCTCACTTTTAAACACCTCCAATGACAGCTAGCCTGGTAGCAAACATCAAGAGGAATGAGATGCACAGGAAACTTTGCTTTTGCATGAATTTCATTCAGGGGATGCCTGAGAATGGGAATAATTTCTTTACATAAAGGAGAGGGGGAATTAATATTTATAAATATGAAGGAAGAGGCAAAAGAAAAAAAGGCGAGAAAATAAATAGAAAAAAGAACCACAGCAAAAGCCAGGCCAATTTGGTGTCGTGAAAATAGTGACCTTCAATTCCTTACACCAATTTCCCCCTCTTTGCACTGGTCACTAATGGTTTTTACTAAGTAGAAGATCATAACTTTTTCCCCTATAGGAAATTGTATCATCCCCTCATACAGTTCTCCCTCCCCCTTAGAACTGGCTTTTCATCTTCTCCCTGCCACCAAAGAATCAAAGCTGAATCCCTGTTGCATGCTAAGCATTTACTCTGCCACCAGAAGCGCTAGTCAAACCCTTCCTCTCATTTACCACCTCTCAGCCAGAGAAACTCTGAAGGACATTGCCAAGTGAGATGTAGTGACATTTACTTGGTGTGCAACATAATATAGTAAGAAGAGCATAGAATGGATTTGATTAACACTATTAAGCTGCTTGTGAATGATTTTGTTACTATGCAAATTGGCAACATCTTTCTCAGAATATCACTGTAATTAGCAGTGAACGCTGCTAGAGCAGTGAAAGCTGTTACCATTTGTCATTGGTCATTTTGATATTTATTTCCTTACTATGGAAACCAAGAAGTTGCTAAATCTAGCGATAAAATTGCTGAAGTGGCAACCATGGAATAAAAGTTAATTATAGAAGATGGCACCCCATGCAGTGAAAAAAAGGTCTAGTGGTTAAGGGGCTAGCCTGGGACCTTAATTTTCCTAATATACCATTTACTTATAGAATCATGGGGTTGGAAGAGACCTCAGGAGGTCATTGAGTCCAACCCCCTGCTCAAAAAAGGACCAACCCCAACTGAAGCATCCCAGCTAGGGCTTTGTCAAGCTGGGACTTAAAAACTTCTAGGGATGGAGACTCCACTACTTCCCTAGGTAACCCATTCCAGTACTTCATCATCCCTCCTAGTAAAATATTTTTTCCTAATATCCAACCTAGACCTTTACCACTACAACTTGAGACAATTGCTTCTCGTTCTATCATCTGTGACTCCTGAGAACAGCCTCTCTTCATCTTCTTTAGAACCCCCTTTCAGGTAGTTGAAGGCTGCTATCAAATCACCCCTCATTCTTCTCTTCTGTAGACTAAATAAGCCCAAATCCCTCAGCCTGCTCCAGCCCCAATCAATTTGGTTACCCTCTGCTGGACTTTCTGCAGTACGTCCACATTCTTTCTGTAATGGGGACCCCAGAATTGGACACAATACTCCAGATGTGGCCTCACCAGTGCCGAATAAAGGGGAATAATCACTTCTCTAGATCTGCTGGCAATGCTCCTCCTAATGCAACCTAATATGCTGTTAGCCTTCCTGACTACAAGGGCACACTGTTGACTCATATCCAGCTTCTCATCCACTGTAATCCCCAGGTCTTGTGGCAACAACTACACTGTGCAATTGGAAAAGTCACTCTCTCTGGGTTAGATTATTAAAGATATTTAGGTGTCAAAAGAAGCAGATAGACTCCTAGTGGGATTTTGAAAAGTCCTTTGGTGCCTAACTGCCATTGGTTTCAATGGAATCTGACACTCGGTGCTCCCTCTGAAAATGAGGATAATGGGACTTACCCGTCTCACAGGGCTTGTGTGTTAAAGATTGTGAGGTGCTCACATATTATGGTAATAGGGACCATGTTAATTACCTTAAATAGCATTGTCCCTTTGTGATCTTTTTCTTCAACTAATGCACATTTTGCCTTACTAATACAGCGAGATTCTGCACTGATACTTTTCCTTTGTTCTCCGAAAGGACTTCCCTGCAGTTCTGATATTGCCCTTCATCTGTACTTATTAGTCATGTGCACTGAGTTTTCACACAGGTCCCTGTGATCATGGGGGCCAGTATGTATGTGGGGGGGTGGGGTGGAGGAGGAGTGGGAATAAAGTATTATGGTGTTCTGAAATTCCTACCTGATCAGTTGTCTGAACAATGTAATTTGGTAGAACATTTCAATTTAAGGTATAATAAAGTTCTCCAATTACCCTTATTTTGCTGTAATTATTTTCAGTTCCTAGGGCAAAGGGTTGCCTCTCTGGACCCCTCTAATAGTACCAAATAGTGTGCTTCGAAGGTGGTCTTATTAGACTCTGTTCCTCCCTTTATCTTCTACTACTGTTACCATAAATAACATAGCCTCCGCAAGGCAGCAAGAAACAGACTATCAATAAACATTACCTTTTTTGTTGAATACTAGTAATGGGCTGTGTATGGTACAAATATATGAAAGAAAAATGGGACCATGCTTGAAATAATAAATAAGGAAACTGATATGAGAATGACCACTGTCTTAAGTACATACAGAAATATCCAACTCAACCTATATTGAATTATAATTGATTATCATGTGCTTAATTAATATATAAATCTAAATAAATACATAAATAAATAAATTCCTAGCACCTCTCTTGAGAGTCACAATGCTCTTTCCTTTCTGCCTTCAGCAGGCAAACCCATAGCCTAAGTGCTATCAACTACCTCAGAGGGAGAGCTGAGTCTTCAAACTCATTAGATGAGCCAGGGGTTTGCCTCCACCCTCTGCTCTAAACTAGGGTCATAGAAGAAAACCCAAGGAACTAGGCGAGTATTAAGTTGAATAGATGCTTTGTTGTTTAGTCGATAGCTAGTTTTCCACGCAGTTTTGCTTATCTCACTTTCCTCTCGGGAAAGCCTTTTTTATACGATACATCCTGTTAAGGGCTCTTTTAGCAATTGGAATGCAGCTAGCACCATGTTCATTGGCATATGGGCATTAAATTGCACAGCTAGAACTTTCACTGTCTTGTTATAACATTTTTAGTGCACATCATCAGCATGAATTTTTGCCCTATTGTGTCTGTTTCCAGCATTTCTATGTACTTGGGGATGTGGGTTTATCATCATTTCCACACCTTGCATTTTCAAAGAGCCAATTGTGACTTAATCAAACAATTCACATTTTAACCAATAGGAGTTCCGTGGCAAAATCCCAAGCAATTCTTGTAAACCATGTTATCTTCTTTAATCAGAGGTTTATGGATTGATTTTCTTTGTTTATTGTTTTTGCAGTTGTTTTTAAAAAGAAGCTGTTCTGGAGAAGTGTGTGTAAAAAATGGGTATACACACACTCAATTATTATTTAGTCCATTACATCAGTCCATAGCATAGTCCTGAATAATGTCCATTGATATTATGACCCCATAATAATGTTAGAGTAATGCATATTAACAATTGTCACTCACAATGGCAAGTGAATGGTAAACCTTTCCACATCTTCATTGGGAATTGGCCCATTAAGGTTATTAATATGAATGTATCTATGTCTCAGACCTACACTGCAGATGTCACCTCACTCTCCATTCACTAAGTACTGCGCACTCCCTCTGACATCACTGGGTGTTCCAACCAAGTTCAGAATACGTTGTTGAAATGACCTTACACCAATGGTGGTGATGCAATGCCATTCATTAGAATGGTACTTGTGGAGGTTCAAGGGTCAGAAGTTTTTCTGCAGAAGCTACTCCTTTCCAGCTATTGTAATGAAACCAGCACTTCAAAATTCTGCTCTCCCATTTTACACCTCACCTGAGCCACCATTCCAGTCATTGTCTTGCTCATCCTCCATTTCTTCACTCTCCATGGTAGTGGGGCTCAGTCCTCAATCTCTTTCTCCATCTTCTTTGGGGCTTTTGAAGAAAATCCAAGATGCTGTGGAATGTTAAATCAGATGCTTCATTGACTAAATAATTTGTAGATAGTTTTCATATTTACACTCGAGTTTCTCTTGCGCTCTTTGTCTCTTTAAAGGAATAATTAAAAACTTCTCTTGCAGGGTTAACAATTTCAAGTCCATCATGCCTTTTTGTACATCATTTCCTCCTGCAGATTTCCAAATCAATGGTTACTAAAGGTTTAAAAAGTGTAATTTGACCTTGGAGTCCATAAACAAATGATTTACAGTTGTTGATATTGTTCTGGGATAACTGAACTTTTGTCTTCAAGCAAATCTAAATTAAAAGATTTGCTTTGCTTTACTTACACTGGGCTAGAGTCTGATGCATCACCTAACACTGAGTAATACCATAACATTCCCCCCACCCACCGCTAGCACCTTTGATTTCAAAAGCATTGCCCCAGGAGCTAGGTGCCACTCAGTATGGACAAGGGTATCAGAATGTGTTCCACTGTTACTGGAGAAGGAAAGTCCTTTGTTCTTAAGATTGTGATAATTTGAAAGATAAACCATTTGATTAATTTCCCACTCTTTATGTTCTTTTGCAGAGTAAGTTCATGTAAATTCTTACAATGTGCATTAAAACCAAATTAAAAAGTACATTTTTCTTTCAGAATATCCCTTTTAGCAGAATCATGGGCACCCTTGCAACATCACACAAGTGTGTATGTTAGAGGCAAACCAAGCAGGTATATTTGAATATGAAAATATATTTTAGTTCTAGACTTGCAAGGGACTATTTTAAACCACAATTAATAAAATAATTCTTTTTAAAATGATCGACTGCACCTTGCTGATGTGTCTCTGAAGCTGAAACTTTAGAACTATGTTTGTTAGCAAGACAACACTAGCATTTAAAGAAGTGTGTCTTGTATCATCGGTCTCTTTTATCCTTTTTTTTTTTTGGCATGCTCTTTAGGAAACAGAAGAGAAAGAAAAATATGAAACTGAACACAGCAAATTTAATTATAAAACAAAGCCACCCACCTTGCTTTCAGGGTCAGGAAGTATAATCGCCTCCTTCTGACGCAAGAATGAGTTTAACGGCATATGTTAAATGAACAATTATTTAAAATAAAAGGAAATGACCTTAAAAACAGCTGCTGTATCTCAGACTATAGAACAGAAAGCACTGCAGAAAAAACATCCCATTCTAGAACTCAGACATGCACACCACCAGAGTTCTCCAGTAACTGTACCCTTTCAAAAACAAAAAGCAATTGCTTCAAGAATATTGCAATACACCTTGTCTATATTTGCTCTCACCACTATCGTCTCTCTCCTCTTGCTGCAGGAGCAGATCAAAAGTCACTGTTAGCTGCCAAATGGTGCTATAAAAGTGTATTTTCCAATAAATGTTTTTACTGAAGCTTGCGAGCACTTCTGCATTAAAAGCCAACTAAGAAGAATAAAAAGAAAATAGCATATTGCAACAGAATAAATTTCATTTTTATTGAAACAGTCAGGAGTCACATGACCAAGCATCTAGCCTTTAGGATAGCAACAGAACTAGCTTGAAATGGTAAAGGAATTAACCAGTCTGCCTCCTCCTTCCACAAAGCTTTTTCGCCTGTCGACGCGTTGCATGTCCATATCCTTTGCGGCGCATCTGTAGAGCTATTAAATTGGATAATCCCTCTGGCCTTTGATACATTTCTGGACATGATTATTTCATTACATGCAGTATATCAGTAGGATCATAATAAAAAGGACTTCTGACAACCTGCCAAGAGTTTTGTGGCCTTGTAAACACAAAAGTGCTCTAATAAAATTTTATTAAGTGTTAAAAAGTCATAAAAAGTGAAATAACATAAACTACAAAATTTACTGTCCTCAGCAAATGCTGAAAATATCGTCCATAGTAAAATTAAATTAGCATGTACTAGACAGAGAAGCAAAGAGAAGAGGGTTTAAAAGAGGATCCAGGAAAAAATTTCATTGGAACTGGGTCCTGGGAATTTAGTTTATGGAGATCCTTTCTTTTTATTGGAGGGAAGGTAGAGATGAATGAATATGCAGATTATGGACAGGGGCGTTCTAAGGTCATTTGTGTCCTGTAGGTTGTCGATACTTTGGAAGAAAAATACATTGCAAGCTTTAATAGGGGGAGGGAGGTGGGAAGTGAGTCAAGTGTGCGGTTGGGGTCCACTAGGGAGCGCTATGAGACTAGGAATCTTTATACCGCACCTAGGGAGGGAAAGGGACCTAAGAG